TTCCTGAATCGTCTACGTAACGCGAACCCGAACAACGCGTACGTAATGGAGTCATTCGACGTCACTGCTTTATATACCAACGTGTCGAATGACTCCGCATTGCAAGCCACACATGAGCTTCTTATACAACACCAGGGAGCTGTAAACATGTATGGCTTGACGATTGAGCAGTTCATGATCCTACTAAAAGAGTGCTTGAACTGCTCAATATTCAGATGGTCCGGGAATTATTATGCTCAAACCAGAGGGCTGGCAATGGGACAGCGACTGGCACCTAGCCTGGCCATTGCCTTTATGTCTAAAGTGGAAGCACCAGTGATGGATCTCCGGCCATTACTCTACTGTAGGTATATAGATGATTGTTTGATTATCTGTTCCACTCAAGAGGAGCTGGATGATTGTTTTAGATTGCTGAATGAACAGTCAGAGTATATAAGATTCACCCGTGAGATACCAAAAGACGATTGGCTTCCATTCTTGAACGTGCAAATAAGCTTAACTGAGAGCGGCTACATAACGAAGTGGTACCGAAAGCCAAGTAGTAAGAATATCTTGGTTCACTATCTCTCTTCTCATCCCTCACATACGAAGAAGGCGCTAGTAAAAAACATGTTTCGAACAGCAGCCAATGTATGTACTGGGAGGAGCAGAGAGTAGAATCCATGAAACTGGCGCGGGAAATAGCCACTTCTAATGGATACGAATTCGTAGCCCCTCGGCTTAGGTTTAGAGGAAATAATGCGCCTCCGAACGAAAACTTAGTTGAAAGGAAAGTCCCGTTTATCATCCCGTTCTATTCAAATGAGATTAGTACAGCTATAAAACGATGTTTGAAAAGAGCGGGTTTAGAGCAATCGGTGGTCCATTATTGAAATACCACCGAATACTCTAAAACGCCAACTAGTTCGCAACCGCTTATATGACCGTCTCTGTATGATGAAAGATTGTAAAATATGTCCTAACGGCAGAGACGGTGATTGCATGAGCGTAGGTACAGTCTACCTAATCTCTTGCAAAGCGTGTAGTGATAAATATGTTGGCGAAACGGGTAGGCCGCTCTATGCACGCATAGAAGAACACCTAGCTGACAAGCGTCTTAATAGACAAAACACCCCGCTAGGGACGCATAGAGCACAGAAGCACGACGGAGTTGATTTTGAAATCGAAGTCACCATCCTTGCGCAGGAGCAGAAAACATCAGCGCGAAAGATCTTGGAAGCATTTTGGATTAATACGACCAATCCAACCATAAACCGCAGGGAGGAATGCCTTGTAAACACTCGTGATATGAGCCAGTATATAAGACTGTTGTTTTGATGGGTAGGGTGCATTACGAGCCTATGTGTCTCTCTTGCCGGTGATCTCCACTTGGATCATCCAGTGGAACACATATAAAAAGCGGTGAGTATGTTGAGTGTTGATTTTTGCTTGATGAGATTGAAATCTAGGTCTGGTGATTTTCTCTAAAGAAGTAATGGAGGTGTTTGACTGATTGTATTGCAAACATTTTGACCTTTCCAGGCTCTGAAGAAGGCGAACTGCCGAAACGTCAGCCATCGAATAAAGTTTAATGTAACACCTCGTGTTCTGCTCAAAGAAGAAAATCAAGAATCATACTGAAGCATGCCGAGGTTAATAGACAGTCGGTCTTGGGAATTCTATTTTATCACAATATTTAGATGATAACTTTAAACTTGAGGTGTTATATCTGATGTGTAATACTTCAACTTAGTGTCTAAGAATTAACGACTATCAATCTTCATGTTTAAAACCAATTCGATTCAATATTTCAACTTAATGGTTCCCGTTAGCCGAAACTAAGCTGTGGGCACATTGATGGCAGGATGAGCCTTATATGACTCCTTCGACCGCGAAGGAATGCTAATTTGAACTTGGAAATTGATATTCTAGCCATAGTAAACTTTATGAACCCACTTCATACTGCCTGAGACACGCCACCGGCTCCGCGCCCTGTGCTGCGATAGTTCCGTATTGCCGAGTAGTTGGTGATGCATGTCATTGAGAAGAAGGCTGCTAGTTTGATTTCCTCCTAAGATCTGTCCAAGTAGGTCTTTCGTGTTATCTTTCGCACTTGACTTATGTTTTCTGGTCAATAAATATGTATCATATTATTAACATTTCACAGATCATATCGTAACAACGTAACAAAAGTATTTATCATAAATTATTCACAATCTGCAACTCAAAATAATGAAGATGACATACAAACTACGTATATACTTCATATTAACACCATTTATACAGTTCAAATGATGCATTGACACGACAAAATACAGCACAAATTCAGAGATCACTCAAAATATCCACTTGTTGAATGCGTGCGATCAACAATTATATAGCATAGCTAGGGAGACAGAACGCTAATGAACGCTCATAAATGTCCTGCCCCATGTTCAAGGCCTTGAATAAACGCTTTTAAGAAGATTATATGATGTATTTTCTTCTATTCATTTGTTTATTTGGTCCGTCATCACAATGTTTTTTTCCTGTGCGGTTATCAGTACTTCTTCCTCGAACAGCACATATAGAATACTAGCTGAGCGAGTCTCCTTGCGCTCTCGAGGATAGCCTTGGTGTAGCGTTCCATAGGGCGTTGTTGTTGACTGCCAGAGGGAGTTTGAGAATGGAGGGGAACGGGGGAGTGGAGCTCGGCTCCACGCTCGTTGCGACGAACATCACGACCACTCGATAAACAGTGTGGCGATAAAGTGACTTCTAATTCAAAACTTTACCACTGAGGCGATAAGGCAATTTCTTAATCGAAAATTAACTATATAAGGCAGCGACTCCGCGGTGAAATTATCACTTCAAGTTTTGAATCTATTTCAAGTTAAGAAGACACTTTTTTGTTTCGTCACAGCTTCTTACTTTGAGCGAGTAAACCGTACAGCATGATATCTGCCTCGAGCACGTCACTGCTCTCTACACCAACGTGCAGAACAACTCTGCACTGCAAGCCACACACGAGCTTCTGATGCAACACCAGGTTCCTTAGGCATCTATGGCTTGTTGATTCAGAAGTTGATGGTTTTTATTGGAGAAATGCTTGAACTATTCAATCTTCAATATAATTCCAATAAAGAATGATTTAAGCTCAAAAAGGGGTTGGTACGCCAGGGTCATACACCGGTGTTTCGGAGGTTCGTCCTCCTCATCAGTGACCCCCGCCCCACATTCAGCCCTGCATTGAAGCAAGGAGGGAGGCGTATGTGGTGATGGCACAGTGTACTATGACACTGTACCATCACCACCTCTCAGTCGATAGATTTTTGCTGTTAGATCAAAACTAATTCAAAAGATCGACTGTTTTTGAAATCCCCAAAAAACATTCAATATAATTCCAAAAAAGAATGATTTAAGCTCAAAAAAGGGGTTGGTACGCCAGGGTCATACACCGGTGTTTCGGAGGTTCGTCCTCCTCATCAATCTTTAGATGATCCGAAAGTACATTGCTCAAATGAGACGGCATAAGCAGCAACTGGTGGGAAACGCCAGTGATTGATCTCCTGCCATTACTCTGCTGTAGGTATATAGATGTTTGTTTATTAATCTGTTCCACTCAAGAAGAAGTGGATATTTGCTTTAGATTGGTGATGAGTAGTCAGAGTATATAAAATCCACCCAAGGATACCGAAAGATAATTGGCTCCCTTTCTTGAACGTGCAAATAAACTTAACCGAGAACAGCTAAATGACAAAGTTTATACCGAAAGCTAAGTAATAAGATTACCTCGTTCACTATTTTTCCTCTCATCCTTCACATACGAAAAAGGAGTTAATGGAAAACAGTATCGAACAGCCGCCAAATGTGTGTACCGGGAAGGAGCAAAGAGTAGAATCCATAAAACTGGCTTGGGCTCGGGCCACTTTTATTGGATATGAATTTGTAATCCATCGGCTTACGTTTAGAGGAAACAGTACGCCTTTAAACGAAAATATCAATAAAGGTAGAATCCCGCTTATTCTCACATTTTTTCCACATGAAATAATTACTATATGCTATAAATTATGCTATAAAACGTCGCTTGAAAGGAACAGGTTTAGAGCAATCGGCAGCTATCATTGGAATATAACCGAATACTGCGCCAATTAGTTTATAACCGCTCATATGACCGCCTCTGTATAATTCTTACTTTTTCTTTCTTTTTAAGCGGAGCACGAAGTGTTTAAATCCAAGCTTTATTCATGCAATAAAACGCCGGAAAGCCGTCAGCCGAGACGTTAGCTGTTTTGATTGTGTGAATAAATTTTGGCTTTTATACCTCATGCCCCGCTTAAGAAGAAAGGAAAAAATAAGAGTTACTGAGGCATGCCAAGGTTCATTAACAGTCGGTCTTGGGATTTGTCTCTGTATAATAAAAGACTGCAAGATATGTCCTGACGGCAAAGACGGTGATTGTATGAGCGTCGGTGCACTCTATCTAATCTCTTGCAAAGCGTACTGCGATAAATGTATTGGCAAAACGGGTAGGCCACTCTATGCTCGCATAGGAGAACGCCTAGATGATAAGCCTCATAATAGGCGAAACACCTCGTTAGGGGCACATAGAGCACAGAAGCATGACGGAGTATTGAGTGGTCAGTAAAAACATGGTCTAATCTAAAGTCGAACCTGCGTTTCATCCTATCCGGGGACGGGTGCTCTACCACTACACCACCGAGGTGCAGTTGCGCCACCACTCATTCTTCATCATCTCTATGTTAGCTATCAGCCACCTACCTTTAATAGGTTTAGTCGGGAATGCGATTTCGCTTTATAAATCCAGTTGAGCTGATGGCCATTGTGACAACTAATTTTCGAGATTTCTAGTATTTTACTTTATTTTTCGCAGTGTTATGGTTTTCGAAAATTAGTTATCACAATGGCCATCAGGTCAACTGGGTTTATAAAGTGAAGTCGCATACCCGACCAAACCTGTTAAAGGTTGATGACTATTAGCTAACATAAAGATGTTAAAGAGTGAATGGTCGAGCAAATGTGCCTCGATGGTGTAGTGGTAGAGCACGCATCCCCAGATAGGATGAAACGCGGGTTCCATTCCCTACCGAGGCCATGATTTTGCACACCACTCAGCTCGCTTAGGATTATATGAATAATCATAACACTGCGGAAAATGCAGTAGAATACTCGAGATTTAGAACACAACGGAGTTGTTTTGACATTAAAGTCCCAATTCTTACGCAGGAACACAGAGCATCAGCGCAAATGATTTTGGAAGGTTTTGGATTAATACGAACAGTCCAACTCTAAATCAAAGGAAGGAATGCCACGTGATTACTCGTGATATGAGTCAGTATATAAGACTGTTATTTTGATGGGCAGGGTGCATTACGAGCGTATGTGATCTTCCTCCGGTGATCTTCACTTGAATCATTCAGTGGAACACATATAAAAAAGCGGTGAGTGTGATGAGAGTTTATCTTGTGCTTGATGGTATGAAATCTGGGTCTGGTGATTTCTCTAAAGGAGTATTGGAGGTAATTTCTGAAGAAGACGAACTGCGAAACGTCGATTTTGAATAAAGAAATTATATAACATCTCATGTTCGGCTTAAAGAAAAAAAATCGGATTTGTTGAAGCATGACAAGGTTATAGATGGTCGATCTTGGGAACAGATTTTTTTCACAAAAAAGTTTCTTTCTGCTAGAAGGCGACAAATGAATAATTGACCTTATAAGCTATGAAAGAGTTTGTCATTAGAGTTTAACAGTCAATCGAACGAAGGAATAGTCTAACTTAGCCAAATTTTTCCAAACATGCTTTTACATTGCTGTAGAATCCGAAACAAAATTATCTCTTACACGACCACTTGATTTTCTTTTTCATTTGAATTGCTTCCTTAGATTGCTTGTAGTCTCTCGATAGCACATCGAAGAACTTAAAAATTTGTTTAGTTCTTGGAAAAATTTTTCCATCGCGGTGTAGCAGATGAAAAAGTATTTGTGCTATAAACCTCGTCGGAAAGGTCTTCTTTAGATTTTTAGCAATTATTTAATAGCGCAAGTTTTAATGATTCCAACACTGTATTCATTTTGCAAGTAGACTGCTTAGGTGCATTGTAGTAAGGAAGATAAGGTCAAGTTTTACCTAATTGGCGAGCTCGTTCGCCGGCTAATCTACACGTTGGGGCAGGGCGATCGATCGATTGCCTGAAATGTTATACAGTGGGATCCAACTTGTTATTCAATTGGAAATTTTTCTTCCGATTTGAAGGAAACTCCAGATAAAACTGGTGACTCAGATACTACAAAATTTTCTCAACATGTTTATACCCTTTTGCAAATCACACGCGTGTTAAAATGAAGTCGGGAGCTGGGTATGAAACATAATTTTACTTTGGACTTCACAGCGTCATGAAAGGGTGTTTTGAAAAACCTGCCACGCACAGCTCTTGCCACAGATTCAAGCTTTCGAATGAGCACAAACACTCGTGTGAAAAAAACCTTGATCTTCTCTTTGAAAAATCTTCTTTTCAACGCTAGAGTGCCTTATATTCCTACCACAAATTGGGCTGAGATAATATAAATGAAGTGTATTCAGTTCACACTTTCGCAATTAGTGGATGAAATGATGAAATGTGAACTAACTATAATGATGTAAGAAACGTCGTGGTGAAGCCTACAGTGGATTTTCCACTTCGAGCACAGACTGTACATGGCGAACATACTTTATATGTCAAGAATGTCAATGGAGCTTTTGGAAACGCACTGTCTAGCCGAGTCGATGTCGATAAAAGTGCAGTCTTTCCGAAATCTGTATCAGGTGCATAAAGAATCGTTTCTTGAAAAATTGCAAGGAAATAAACAGGACGGACGAAGAACAGGATATAGATAGGACAGTGGTAACCGCTTTGAGTGATGCAAATTATAAGCGATTCATCTGCTCATTCCGAAAGCGCAGCACTGCTTCCTTATATTCTCGCTTACATGAAAGTATGAATAATTCTTTTTGGTTTCAGAGTGTAAATGAAATACTCCACCTCATTCGTCGATTAGGAAATTTTCTTGGGAGTGCCAGTAATCACTAGGTTGCTTAGAGTTCTGACCACAGCCCTGCATGTCCGGTTTTCAAAAGGACTCTTTTATCACTCTGCAAAGTCCAAAATGAAACTATGTCTAAGACGCGCATATTTCTAGCAGGACAGAGCTCTTTTTTTTTACTATTACTGATCATTCGATAGCGTAATGTATGCTGAATTCAACTTTGTGCTTACTTTCCAGAATGACCGTTTCTCTACAACGTAGAAGGAAAAATAATACTGATATACATGGGTGGTCTTTAACCAAATCACCGGACACTGGGTGAGGAAGTAGTGGGAGTTGCGCAGTTATCAATCGAATTTCGACCAGTCTTATGCTAGTACGACTTTTGTTATTCAATTAGGAGTTGTTTCTCTATTTTGGGAGAGAAACTAAATAAAACGTATAACTCTGTTACAAGAACTTCCTGAATACCTTTATTTTGTCATGAATACGGATAAACCATTCATCGGTACGATCACTCTGATGGAATACAAGAGGCCAGAACGTTTCGATTGCTTGCAACAGTGATTCGAAGACATGCAGATACTATGAGACTTTGATTACTTGTTCATGTGGTCGAAATCGATCGATCGCCTCCTCAGCCGTCCTTTCTACCTCATCCAGCGGCCGTGAATTGACCAATGACCACTTTGCTCGCGCATGTAAATCAATCTTATTTTCCTTGTTGCGTTGCACAGAAAAGGCCTTTTCAGTATATAAGCACAGTGTTGAACTCAGCGAGCATTACACCTCTGTCCTGCCAGAAATATGCTCGTCAAAAACTCATTTGACCCTTTGTCATCGAAAACAACCTTTCAACTATATGTCAATAAGCGGTTCGTTGTATTCATATCTGTGGATTCTTTATCAGCAGCTCAGTTTTTTTATAAATCGAGAAAAGGAGATATTTGAAGGAAAACTAAAATAAATGTAGGTATAAAAATAAACACTGAAAAACGACGCACATCCACGCGCGATCTACATCCTAAGCTGCCATGGATAGAGTATAGCTGCTTTAGCCTAGATTTGGCAGCTCACCCACTTGACGTCTTAGATTTCGAATTGGAAATTTATGCGCTAGGGCATCACATTCATGACATTTCTCGGCCATCATCATGCATTGTCTGCACCTTTCCTAAAATCCTAATAAGGACTTAAGCTCTCGACTTTGATCAATCCTAGACTATTGTGCCAACCACTCGACTTCACTAAGCATCGTTGAAGGTCACTGAATTCATAAGCTGCCTTTACAAAGTTTCTTCGTGGTCTATTGATGTACGAAGCCAGTGTTGCTACTATGCCAGGTCTGGTGCCAGTTTGGCGAATTTGGAGAGGTGTAAGGTCTTGATGAGCTTTGAAAGAGTAATCGAACCACAAGCATGTGTGTGACAGAACACTTTCAAATGGAAAGAATTCTGTCACATCATACGTATATCGGATATCTGTCAGCGTCACTGGGTACAGCGCCGATATCGATTACTAGGGTACACCGGTGGCGGTTGGTTGTGATAGATTGATGCATTGTAGCGTAGAAAGAGCACTGTCAAAAAGGCATCGGTAGTGCACTCGAGTGAGCACGCGCCTCCGGAAAAGTGAAATGCGGCTTCGAATTCCACTGGCGTCGAAATTTTGCACATCACTCAACATCACTGGAGTTTGTTATTTTTTTAGTTATTTCCATTCTTGATGAGCGATCTTTGTATATATAGTAGCGTGCATTAAAAAGCCCTCGAAAAATTAAGCTCAATACTAAAATTTTATCACTGAAATTATGGAATGACTACTAATGCTCTAGTAGATAGACAGGAAGCAATGCTCTTTGGTTACACGAAGCATAAATTCAGCGCAACAAACCTAAATTGTGACCGGTGCTAATGTAGTGAGCAAGGTATTTTGCTGATAACTGGTATGTTGTATATGTTGTATAATATGTCGTTGATTGTTGAATATTCAGAGCAGAAAATTTACAATATCAATAAAAAATGTGAAAAATTAGGATGATAAAAGATGCTCTATAAGGAAAAATTCCCCACAATATGATTAATGCGCACTCTATCAAGGCTGACTCTGGCTACATACTATGAAAATTCTTCTGGTAAATTCTTCTCTGAAACTTATACATCAAAGAAGAAGTATTGGGTTGCCATTATTACCTATGCGCTCCGACACATTTGTTGAATCTTGTTCAAGGAAATCGGTTTAGCAACAATTGATGTAACCACTGCCATGATAGATGATTACAACTATTGCTGGGCAAGGACTGGATGCTTTTGCCTTTCTCTAAGGAAAAAACGAAACTGTCGATCAAAGCACGTCGATTTCTTACGAGTGAATCTGCGTATTCTTCTGTATAATTAAACGTATATATTTCTACATTAAAGTATATGAGATGTTCAAAGACCTTTCGAGGTTGATACGTCAGTGACTTACACACGTTTCGGAATTATCATCCGCTTCATCAGAGCCGCACGCTCTGCGCTGAGCCCTGCTTTATAGCAGAGATGGGAAGAAGTTTTGATGATAACACGTGACACTGTGTCATCACCATTTTTTTCAGTCAATGCATTACGATTGGTAGTGATTATAGGCATCCTTCCAACCGACTCTTTCTAAATCTCGCTACATGTCATTCAATATAATCTGTGAGACCAACGCCTTTTTGAGATTGTTACGCCAGTGGCTTACGTACGTATAGGCGGTATTGCCCTCTTCATTAGATCCATCTACTAGAATAATGGTGATAACACATTATCACGTGCTATCGCCATAACGTCTCTTGAGCTATAAAGTAGGTCATTGTGGGGCATGTGCTCGTGACAGAGCGGGCGACATTAACAAAACGTACGTCACCAATTGACGTAGGAAACTCGAAAGAGGATCTAAACATTCTTAAAGTCTTAAATGAATGTTTATAGCAAGATTTGAAAACATTCGACTGGAGTAATATCGGCATTAAAGTAGTGACTAAAAATCGGGTTTTTGGAGCTTCCTTCTTCAGACATAATGATCATAACAAGACCTTGGACCAGT